ATGAATAAAAAGTAATGAAAATTAATAAATAAAATAAAAAAATATATAATATATAATAATAGAAATAATAGAAAAAATATAATATATATTTATATTATATATATTATATATAATACATAATATATTATATTAAATATTACATTATATTATTATAATAATTATTACATTATAATAATACATTATTATAATGTATTATAGATATTATATATTATAATGCATTATATATTATGTATTATATATTTATACATTGTATCTAATATTATATATATATTATATTTTTATATATTTATATTATATATTCATATATATTCATATATTCAATATAAAAATATATTTAATATGTATAAATATGTAATATATTTATATATATTATAAATATATTATATATTAACATATATTAATATATAATATATAAACAATGAGATAAATAAATTAATAAAAAATAATAAAACACTAATTTATTGGTTAATTAGTAATTTTATAATTTGTTAATCACTTAATTTAATAATTTAAATTAATAACTATTAAATTAATAAAATTAAATTTATTAAAGTGATTAATAAACTAAAATTAAGTTAATTAAATTAATTATTAAATTAAAATTTAAAAGGTAAATTAATTAAAAATCACTGTAGGTCCCTTCCAATTCAAGATATTCAATAATTCCATGAACCATAACTTCAGGCATCCTTTCCCTGAAAGTCAAAAGTTTTCACTGGAGAAATTCAATTTTTAATCTCTGACAAACACAAAGTCCTAAATATTGCTGAGCTCAGTGGCTCGGGGCAGGGTGACAGAAATTTTCCTGACAACAAACAGAGAACACACTTTGTGTCTGATCTTACAGACCACCAGTTCTGCTCCCCATTCATTTCTCCTGGAAACCAAAGGGAGCTGGAACTTCCAGAATTCCTGGGGATTTTGGGTCTCTTGGGCTCTGCCTTGTGGGGAATGAAATGTTTCCAGCAAGGAACAGCACAGGAAAAAGGGATCAAACATCACCACAGGCACCTTCACCTCCTACAGGAACCTTGGTGTGGTATGTTCAGCGTCTCCTGTGCCAGCAAAAAACAAATTGTCACAAAGAGCCTGTACAGAGGTGTCTCATCATGCTCCTCCCAGGCACAGAAACACCACCAGAAAGGGGCAAAAAAAATGCAAAGGCACCTTAAAAACACATTCAAACCCTAAAACCAGGGGTCAGGACTTCTGTGCTTATGCAAGTTTCATTCAGAAGTGGCACAACTGGAGTGAATTTGTGCCAAATGTGACAAGGATGGAAACGGTGGCACCTGCACAGCAACCCAAGGGATTTTCTTCCTCAGGAATTTGGATGTTGGGAATTCCTAAGACACTTCTAAATGGGATCCTCAACATGCAGAGCCTTTGCTGCTCGGTGTTAACAGCCTCAGCTGATCCCTGTGGGAAAGCAGTTCCATACCTGACTGAGCAACTGCCCGTGGAAGATGGTGTTGACCACCTTGAGGACCTGCTTGGTGAGCTTCCTCTGCGAGAAGGGGATGAGGATCCTGCGCCTGGTCCCCTCGGACTCCAGCTCCTGCTGGACCTTGTCCAGGAGCTCGCAGAGGAACTCCTGAGCGTCCTGCTGGTCGTAGCCGCGGAACGCCGGGATCAGGCTCCACACGGAGTGCAGCATGGCAAAGGGGGACACCAGGGCCCACTTGCCAGACCACATCACCCTGAACAGGGTGTGCAGCTCGTGGCACAGGGAGATGTGCTTCGAGCTGGGCTCCTTGGGCTGGATCAGCTCTAAACTGCCGCCGTTCAGGCTGGCCAGAGAGCTCTGTGTGCCGGATGATCCCACCCTGTCAGGCTTCCCCGGCTCACCGGCGGCAGCCCCGTTTGCCAGTCTGCCAGGCATCCTGGCCCTCCCGTTCACAGTTTTAGCTAAAAGTTCTTCTGTTTCACAGAGATCAAGAGTCAAGAAACATTCTCGGAACTTCTGGAGGTGGCTGAGCACCTGCAGGATGGAGTTCATGTAACAAGTGTTGCCCAGGTTCCTCAGCCCCGTCACCCCCGGCGTCATCAGGGGCTGGCGCCGGATGGAGTAGAACTGCTTGAATCTGCTGCTCTGCACCTGCCTTGAGGTAGGGGAAGCTGTGGCCACTTCCCTGAATTTCCTTGGGATCAAGCTCTCCCTGTGCACGTGGGACAGCAGCCTGGCGCTCTTCCTCGGGGGAGTGTTGGCCAGCTCCTCCAGGAGCTGCCTCTTCATCTCCTGCCGCCGCTGCCGAGCCGCTTCCTTCTTCTTCTCCAGCTCCTCCAGCTGCTTCTTCTCCTTCAACTTCAGCTGCCCCCGGGAGCTCTTGTGGAACCAGGTGCGCAGAGCCCTCGCCAGCAGGGCCTGGCGCCGGTGCCACAGCGCCACCAGCATCTGGGACTGGCCCTGAGGGCTCCTCCTCCTCCAGGCGTCCTCGGCCAGCGCCATGGAGCGCAGCGTCCTGCCGCTCCTCTGCCCCTTGATGGCCGACAGCGAGCTCCTCAGCAGCTTCAGGTCGCCCTCGGGGTTGTCGTTCAGGACGTAATCCTGGCACAGGTAGCAGAAGACGTAGAGCTCGTGCACTTCCATGGCCAAGGGGTGCCGGGTCTCCTGGAAGTGCCTCAGGGCGTGCTCCTCGATGTAGCGGCCGCAGGCCACGTGCGAGCACTTGAGGCAGGCCCAGAGCGACTCGGTGGTGTGGCAGTCCACGCACTGCCACTTCTGGGGGTTCAGGATCGAGTGGTCCTGGGCGAGTCGTAGCCGCCCCACATGTTTGCATCTATCCATGTCTCACAGGAGGCGTCGCTGCTCCGACCTTTTGCGGGGCAAAAACACAAGGAAAAGGATTTTAGAGCTGTGACACACTTTTGAAATCTCCTTGTAGGGTCGTTGGAAGGGTTAGGATCATCAAATCTGATCCCTGGCCCTGCACAGGACACCCTAAATTCCCTACATGTGAATCTATCCATGTCTCTTACAGGATGCGTTGCTGTTTTCACCTGTGGAGGCAAAGAACACAAGGAAAAGGATTTTAGAGCTGCAATGTGGATGTGAAATGTCATTGCAGGGTTGTGGGATATCCTGATTGGAAGGCAGCCAAAAGCATCATCAAATCTGACCCCTGGCCCTGCACAGGACACCCTAAATTCCCTACATTTGCATCTATCCATGTCTCTTACAGGAAGTGTCACTGCTCCGACCATGGGAGGCAAGAAAACACAAGGAAAAAGGTTTTAGTGCTGCAACATGGATTTGAAATCTTTTTGTAGGGTCATGGGATATCCCCAGTTGGAAGGGGGTCAATAGGGTCATCAAGTCTGACTCCTGATCCTGCTGAGGACACCCCAAATTTCTCCTGTTTGCATCTCTCCATGTCTTACAGGAGGTGTCACTGCTCTTTTGGTGGGGCAAAGAACACAAGGGAAAGGATTTTAGAGCTGCAATGTGGATTTGAAACACCATTGTAGGGTTATGGGATATCCTGATTGGAAGGCAGCCAAAAGCATCATCAAATCTGACTCCTGATCCTGTACAGAACACCCCAAATCCCCCATCTTAATCTTCCAATTCCAGCTTCAGGTAATGAAGTCATTTACCCTCAAAACTCCCTTTTGTTTCCATCTCTGGGGGCCTGAGGCAATGACTCCAGGCCTGGAGAGGAATTGTTGTGTCTGAGCAAAATGCAAAAAGCTGACCCTGTGTGTGGAGTTTGGAGTTATCCACTGAACAACTGCAGGACTAATACATTTTCTAAAATAGAACAGCAAAAATCCTAAAGCATCAGATTGATAAAAGATTCCCAGCGAGCTGTGGATCCCTTTTTCCAGTCCTTCCAAGGCTCTGAGGGCAGGGAAGGAGGTCAGAGCAGCCAGGCTACTCACGGAGCGCAGGTCACACATCCTTTCCTCCGCCACGCCGCGTCCCGGGCGCGGAGCAGCCCCATCTTCCCACGGATCCCGGAGAATTTAATTACTGGGAAGTCCTCACTGCCAGGCAGCTTCAAAGCCCTGGAGAGAGAGGGAAAATATCCTGGTGATGCAAAGAAACCAACCCTGAAACGCTGGCAGGAGCATCATTAACCCCTCAGTGCAGAACTCATTTATTCCAGAAATAATTCTCTGGAATTACCCCCAGGATCCCGAATTCTCAGATGTTGAGACACGTCACACACAGAAATCCCATTCCATTTCATTCTCTGCTTTCTTTTCTCTTTTTCTTTTTTTTTTTTTTTTTTTTTGGTGGGCTGTAAAAATCTGCTGATCACATGGAGCCTTTTCATGGTGAGGCTTTTGTAGTGGATGACCCAACATATGGCAGAGGGAAAAAACTGGGAGTCAAAATAAAAAAAAAAAAAACAGGAGGAAAAATGTGCCCCTCCTGTGATCACTTGGATTTTTTTGGCTCTTTCTATTGCCTGGTGAGAGACAGGGGGAGGAGAAGGGGGAAAGACAAAAAAGAAAACCCAACAAAAGCTGTGCTGAGTTAAATTTCATTTCTAGGTGTTTTTTTTCCAAACAATAAAAAGGAAGCTATGAGGAGTTGGCAGGTTTGAACTGCCACAAAGTAAGAACCACAGATGAGAGAAAAATGGGAAAAAAACCAGAGGTAGAAAAGACTGGAGTAACAGATCTGAATTCAGTTGGTTACACAGGGACCTGGCACACAGAATATGTGTTTAAAACATCATTTTATGAGGTGTAAAGTTTAACACTTGCCAAAGTTTTGAGGCAGGTACTGAGCCCTCACCTGCGTGGGTGGCAGGGACCTGGCCAGGTGAAGGAAATGCATTTTTAGTGGCCCTAAATGACACAAATTTGCTTTAATTACCACCTTTATCAGCTGCTGAGGATGGAATCTCTTAGAGAAAAATCAAAGCTCTTCAGTTTTTTCTCCTGGACTCCACTGAAAGCTCAAGTGGCCACTTCAGCACCCAAAGAACCACCGAGGTTTTTATTTGAACCAGCTCAGAAAACCCCACATTTCCCTTGGGCTGGGTTCATTCCCTCCCAAATCCCAGGACGTGGACAGGATTTTGGAAATCCTCACTTAAACAAAGGATTGATTTGATCTCTTTTTTCCAAGCTGGAAAAAAAACCCTTCCCCACCTTTTCCCCTCCTTGAGCTTTTTTTCTCCTCTTTCCTCTTAATTTTCCTCCTCAGGGGTGAATATAAAAATCATGGAATTTTGTTTAGAATCCTGTCTAGCCTTGGTGAGAGCAGAAATTCCAGCTTGCAGGAGTGCAGACACTGTGGTAACATTGACAGCCTTCATTTACATAAAAGAATACTAATTATGTTGTATCATCAACATCTGTGATTCTGCTCACTGCCATATGCGACAGTGTGGGGAATTTAACCCTTCAGCCTCCTCAGCACACCAGATTTATAATTTGGAACAAAAAATAGGCCTGAAAGACACTATTTTTTAGGGATTCGTCAAACAGCCGGTCGCTCACGGGCTCTGCGAAGTCTCAGCACACAAAATTTTCAAAAAACACTGAATTTCTCCTCAATTCCCAAGGAGGAAGAGCTGCTGGATTCAGCAGGGTATCAGGCTCCCTGGGAATCACTGCCCAAGCAGATCCAGGGAATTACAAAAAATACAGATTAAGGACTCCTGTTTGACATGCAGGAGATAAATCAGCAGCCTTTTGTCAATTCCTTTGACTTTTCCTGTGCTGAGCCAGAAGATTTCCTGCTTGGAAAAGGGAAGAGGTTCCAAACACCTCAGTCAGCTGACAAAGCAGCTTTGTTACGTCTAAATTCAGAAATTCTCAGCACGAAAGCACCTTTGATGCTACATTTGATATCCCCAACCTGGCTCTCTTTAGGTATCTGCAGATAATTCCCTTACAGATCCAAGCTGTAATTCCATGTGCATCTGAAAGTTAGGGAGGAATTGTGTTTATTTAACCCCAAACTGCTTGAATAAGAGGTTTTTCCTCGAAAGTGAAGCTTCTCCACCCACCACGCTTCAGAGCTCTCATTCACATTCAAGATTTCTCTTGCTGACTCATATTTTTGACTCTTTCCATGAAAAAAAAAAAAAAGGATTGGAATCAACTCTCAGATGTTCCAAAGGCAGCTGGAGCAGCTGCAGGTCCAGCCCTGCACCCTCCACACACCACAGAGTGGAACAAATCCCTGGAAACGCTGGCACAGGACTAAGGAGAGAAGTTTTCCTCTCTTTTCCACATGTACACAAACACTTTGCCACAATCTCCTCCCGGGAACACAGAGCTGCAGCTCCCAGGGGGAATTCCAAGGCTGGGATTAAAGGAGAGCAGGATTTGTGAGTCAGGAGCTGTAAACACAGGCACGAGGTGAGGGAAAAACAAACCTTGAAGAGATCACAGGGCTGGAGCTGCCCCAGAGATCCCAAATTGCTGCCGTGGATGGGATAAGCCATGAGCAACGCCAGGATTTAAGGATAGGGAATGAACACCTTGGATTTGAAAAGCTCTGGAAAGAAACACTCAGAGCTCTGCTCTCTGTAATTATCAGGTTTAACTCTTGGGTTTGGTTTTTGTTTGGTTTTTTTTTTACCAAAGCTGATTTTAAGTAATCTCTATAAAATCTTCATTTTCTCACCTACTTGGATCTTTTCCAGAGAAGGGCTGGGGAGGGAGAAGAAGAGGGAGAAGAAGAGGGAGAAGAAGAGGGAGAAGAAGAGGGAGAAGAAGAGGGAGAAGAAGAGGGAGAAGGAATCACATGGTTGCTCTTCGTGGAGGGGGGGTAGGAAAAGAGGGAGAAGGAATCACTTGGAGCACTGCAATCCACTAAAGATGACTAAACACAAAAAAAACAGGGAATAAAAGCAAAACAGGGGTATTAGTTCAGCTAATAACATTTTAGAGCCTGTTTGAAAACTTCTCACCTTGTAAATCACTTAAAACACTGGGGCAAACCCCACTTTCCTGCCTTGCATGGCTCAGAATCCTGGAAAAAACTCGTGGTGAGATCCTCTAACAGCTCCCAGAACCAAATGCAGCAGCAACAATTTGGCTGCTGCCCCTGTAAGAGCCTTACAAGAAACCACCCGAGCTCATTCTGCTCCTTTGTGCCATTGTTGCACATTTGGAACCTGATTAAAGCCATCTGCAGGCATCTGGTGACAACAGCTACTTTCTTTTTCTAAATCAATCTGCAAGAAGCCAAAAAAAAACAGTCCAGGGGCCAGGAGAGGTGCTGGATGTTCAACCCTGGAATGATGCTGCTTTTATTTGTCCAAAAGGTGATTCCAGAATAAATAAGAGAGCACAAACTCCAGGGAATCGTCTGCCAGGACAGGTGGGAAGCTCAGACTGAAGGATTTTTTTCACTCATTCCTTCATCCCTCTCCTGGGAATGGCAGAAGTGAAGCACAGAGCCTTTTGAGAGTTGGTGCCACATTAAATAAAGCACATTTGCCTTTTTTTTTTTTACCAATTTTTTGCAGCACTGTAGAAAAAAAAAAATCCTTGGATAGTCTTGGTTTCCATCAAAATTACATAAGGAATAGACAGAGTTTGGTCAAATCATAGTGACAGGACAAGGGATATGGCTTCAAAGTGAAAGAGGGAAGGTTTAGGTTGGATATTGGGAAGAAACTCTTCCCTGGGAGGGTCAAATGGAATTCCCAGAGAATGGGTTTAAAAATCCTGGATGCAAAACCCAAGTTCCCACCCCAATAAACCACTTTTTATGTGGAGCTCTCCAATTTCTGCTGCAAACACTCCAAAATGGAAATCTGGGGATATCAGAGAGATCTCCTAGAATTCCATACAAAAGAAAAAAAAAAACAACCAAAACTTTCTTCCCCTGATTGTTTTCACCTCCCTGTTTGTGAGGCACCAATTATTGAACCAGATGTGCAAATGCAAACTTGTAATCTGAGCTGCCCAGAAAATGGGGAATAAAATCCTGCTCCAACATCCCCGTTCCAGCTCTGGCAGGAGCTGTCCCAACAGGCAGCCAAGGCAAAATCCTTTATTTATGGAATTCCAGAATCACTGAGGTTGGAAAAACTTCCAGGATCATCAAGCTTTGCTTGTCACATTCCTTGGACACCTCCAGGGATGGGAACTCCAAACCTCCCTGGGCAGCCCCTTCCGTGGAGAAATTCCTCCTGAATTCTTCCTTGCTTCCCAAAGACACCAGAAATGACACATTTCCAAGGAAAAAACCTCTCATATGATTGATATTCTGTTAGAAAATAGGAACTGATGCTCCAAGGAAGGAGTAGCACCATCACACCCTCTTATACTCTGTCCTTAGTGACCTCGTGCTCCAGAATTACTCACTCAGAGCATGGAAAATTCCCAGGAAAAGAGGCAGGAATCTCATTTTCCTGCTCTTTTCTCCAAAAATCCAGCAGGGTTTCTTCCCTTTACTCCTCTCCTTCAAACCCTGCTGGGTTCTGACTTGCAAATTCCATCCCTGAGAAGCAAGAGATTTTCCAGAGAGATTTTTCCAATGATTCTGGAGCTCTTTTCCTGAAAACTCTCAGGCTTTCTGTCCCAGAATTGCTGCTTTCCCTCTCTCCAGGCTGACACAACAGCCAGCTGGGTACAGGAAAATTAACAAGGAAAACAGAGGAAGACAAATCCTCCACACCTGGATCTCACCAAATCCTGAGAATTCCCAACTATCCCATGCCAGGAGGGAGTCAGGGTCCCACAGGAGCCATGGAGGAATTCCTGCTGGATTCAGCTGTTGGACACAGGAATTGGAGGACTCCACACCCCACCCAGCTGTGCTGAACTCCAGCCCTGGCCACAAGGGAGCTTGAGGAAAATGGGATTTTCCCGCCAGCTTCGTCAGCCACTTCAGGTTTACAAAGTCCTCCCAGTCAATTCCAACTCTGGAAGTGTTAAACTCCTCCTGGGAGCTCCCAAAATCCACTCTAGGCTCAAAGCTGGAATTGTCAGGAATCAGTTTTCAAAGGAATATTGAAAAATTCCAACCAAACTCAAAAAAAAGAGTCAAAAAACCCAAAGCACTCAGATTAGGAAAATCCCATTCCCTGCATTGGCAGCATTCCTGGTGGGAACAAGGATTCCTGCAGGATTTGGTTGTCTGGATCCTGTCAGGAAGGTGAAGTTGGCAGATTTTGGTCCATCTTTGACTTTGGAGCACAACAAATATAAAAATGAAGCATTTCCAGGTCCAACCTCCACATCAACCAAACTGCTCCAGATAATTTAAATGCTCAGGGAACGGAGTCCCAGGGATGAAAAAGCTCCTTTCCTAAAAACTCTGGAATTCTGAGCACTTTAGAAAAGCCTTTAAGGCCTTCAAGAGTGCTTTGAATACAACTTGGGGATTTCTGTGAACTGGAATGTGCTGTTACCTCACCTACAGTCAAAAGGGAATTAAAAATATTCCCATTCCTAAAGGCTGCAATGGATAAAACAATCCAATTCTGCCTTTTTTGTTCCTGGGGAACTGGTGGAGCTGCACTACCCCAAAACCTCCTCTCTTCTGCTTTTCCTGGTGAATTCCAAGGAGTCAGAGAAGGCACCAAACTCCTTTTGGGTTGGTTGGGAGAGAAATTTATGACTCCACCAAAAGCCTTGGCCTCTTCCAAGAGCTGGAATTCCAACTCCACACAAAGGGCTGCACATGTGTCTTCTATTCACATTCCTTCCTGATGAAGATCCCTGGGAATGGAGCAGGGTTTGGAAATAATCATGGAAAAGGCAAAGAGGAGGTGAAATCCTTCAGTCCACAAAGGGATGAGTTGTTGTGTGTTTGCACTGCCATGGGAGTTTCAAGTTTTTAAAATTTAATGTGTTTTAAAGATTTAATTTAATTCAAATTTAAAAATTCGAATGTTCTTATCGAGCCAAGCACAGTTTTTCATCGGAGAGATGAACAAAAGTGACTAAAACCTCAAGCAGATGTATTTTTAATTTTCACCTCTTGACTTCAGCTTTAAAATTCCATTTCCAGGTGAAATATTGTCTATACATTCCTTAGAGTCACTGAAAACAAACAGACAAGATCCATATCCTACAAATCCCTGAAAATGTGGGAATTTCTATGTCATGACCCTGGATGTTAAAAAGCATTGTTAAAATGCTATTTAAGTCATAGTTCACAGCTTTCTAGAAGTTAATTTCTCTGTTTACTCCAGCACATAAAAATCCCTTCTCCCCTTTCTTTCCATCCAGGTTTTATTTTTGGGATGGCTTTTGGAAGGGTCAATAAGCTGGGAAACAGGAGCTGAACACAGATCTGGCATTAAAACAATTCACAACTTTCCTGAGCAGTTCTCCTGGACCAGTCTGAAGGGAAGGAGTTCACAGCAATTCCCTGCTGGAATTCACAGCAATTCCCTGCCTCTTCCATTTGCAGAAGCCTGAAGGAATTACAGCAAAACCACACAATTGGAATTATCAGCCTGGAGCAGGAAAAAGAATGGAATTAGAACAGGCTGAGAGATTATTCTGACTGAGAAAAAAAGTTCTGATTTCACTTTACAATCAGCTTGGCACAAGCCAGGAGTTCCCAAAGAATTCTGTGTCCACAGAGGTGACAACAGCAGAGGGTGATATCCCATATCCTGAAGTTTTCCACACAAACTTCCCTCCTGGAATAGCTCAGCTACAGCAGGCAGGAGAGGAGCTTTAGGGGCACAAAATCAGCAGCACAGACTCCAAATCCACTGGAAATCCACTTTTTTTGGTGCCCCCCATCCCCAAACTGTTTGGATTCATACCAAACGCAGCATCTTTGCTTCCTTTTGCACTTCCTACTGCCTGGGGATCCTGCTCCAGGGATCTGTGCCATGGAATAATAAACCAGGGACAGGTTAAACCAAATCATCCCAAGGCGACAAAGCAGGAGCAGAGATCAGCAGCCTTCCCTCAGACTCCCACTTTCCCTGCCTTATCATTCCTTTAAATCACAGCCAGCCACACAAATCCCTACATTTTCCAGCCTGCTGGAAGCATTTTTGCTTTTCCCCACGCTCTTGAACCATCACGATCCCACTCAGCACATCCCATTTATCACCGATCTGCAGGAAAACAACACATCCAGAGTTGAGGTTCACAACAGTTCACAGATGATGGATTAAAAATACCAAAAATCAGCCTTTCCACAGGGAAAATCCTACTCCAATCCCATCCAGCTTCCCAATAACAACAAAATCCAACCTCATTTTGGACTCGATCACCTTAAAGGTCTTTTCCAGTTTCAACAATTCCATGACTGAAAAGCAAAGCCGGTTACATTCTGACCCTGAGCACCTTTAGCATTCCCAAACCTGATTAATTCTGTCTCAAACCTCAGGGAATTTCAATGAAACCAAACCCCTCCATGGCACAGGGACGAGGGGAAGTTTGGCAGCTCTGGCACCTCGGTCTGCCGCAGGGATTGGGGATTCGGCAGCGGAATCCCAGCCCCTCGCAGGATCTCTTTGTGACAGACACAAAGAGGGATTACGGCACAGAGCCAACACTTGCTGAGTTCTGGGGTGTCCTCTGCTGTTCTTTCTGGAACAAAACTCAGATCCATGCTGGTGAAATCTCTGCTGGATTAGGAAGGAGCCCGTCCTGGGAGCGGATCTGGGAGCCATGGGTCACAGCGAGGTGGCAGAGCCATCTCTGAGGCAATAAAACACCAGCCAAGCCCAGCAGGCTGTGCCTGATTCTCTCCCCAGCCAGAAGGAACAGAGCATTCAAGAGGAGAGCACAATTCCACAGGCAGGGAAGGAGCTTCTGATGTGTTCAGGATCCCGAGACAAAAATAACGCCTGGTTTTGACAGCCCTCTCCATCATTTGCTTTGCCTTCACTTGCCAATCAATTATTTGGGGTTTTTAACCCCAAATGAGTGAGGTAGAACAGCTGAAAATTTTCTGTGGGTTTTGTAACAGCAGAAAATTTTCTGTGGGTTTTATAAATGCTGTGAATTGGTAAAAATGAATAAATCACAGCCATTTATCCAAATGCAGCAAGGATTTTGGTGTCTGATTTGTCTGCCCAGCAAACCCCAAGGTGCTCAATGGGATTTCTGTAGAGGATCCATAAGGATTCCCAAATTCCCATATGGAGAGTGCTGCTGTACACCCAGCTCTGGAAACAGAAAATCTCTGAGCCCTCCATTTGGACCCTGGGCCTCCAGCAAGAGCTTCTGTGTTTTCTTGCCAACAAAGAATTAAGGGATTTACACATCCTCTTCCCCTGCTCAGCTGCTGGGCCTGGTTTGTGCTGGGAAAAGCCAATCCATGCAGCAATCCCTGCTCTTCCTCAGTGTCCAAACAGGGATCTGAAGTGGCAAAAATGAAACTGAAATTTGTGTTTTCAGCCCCAGCCTCACCCAAGGTTTGTGCCTCTATTTTCTGGTACAAAAGGAAGAATTTCACTTGTTCAAATCTACCTTTCCCTGCCGTTTCCTGATGGAATGATTCCTGATTTGCATGTTAGGAATCCTGCTCTGGCTGAAATCCTTTTCTTTTTCCTGAACTACAGGATGTGAGTGCTGCCTTTGTCCTGCTCACAAGCTGAGGTCGGAAGCAGGACCCCGATTTGTGAACTCCCAGGTTGTTAATCTTCCTTAAGAACTGCAGATCAAGCCAGGCCCCATTCTGCAGCATCTGTTATTTTAATAAATTATCCTCCTAAGAGGTTAAAGTTCATCCCTTCAATTTGTCCTGAGATGAAACAACAACAGGACAAGGAGAGTAAAGAGGGAGAGGTGAATTTGGGTTTGATGCTACAAAAAGCTGTTCCTAAACCCTTCCAATTTTGGGATGAATAGAGTATTTCCTTCCTTACTCTGACTCATTTCCACATTACCCAAACCAGAAGCTCCAACTATCCTGGGAACTGCAGGAAAAGAGCAGAACAGACTCCAAAGGAGGTTTTTTTCCCTCCTCCTTTGAAAACCACTTGCTGTTTCTACTCTCCATCATGAGTATATTTTATTTCCTCCAAATAAACTCTGGTGAGCAGGATCTTCATCCTTGCTCTGATTCAGGTGAATTAACTATTCTTAGTTAAATAGATTTATTTCTAGTCTTAGTCTGATGACAGATTAACTCCTGACTGGTCGGATTATGGATTTACCTCTGGAACTAAATCACTTTTGAATCTGAGTTATAGCTATTAGTTCTTTCCAGCTCAGCTGAACAGCTTTTAGTGCCTCCTTTGTGTTTTTGAAAGAATGATTAAACATCATTAAATCCAAGCTCAGGGCTCTTTCTCACAACTCCAGGGAATAAACAGCTGATTTCAGGGTTTTTTTTAAGAATAGCAGAGTTTTACATGGATTTTTTCAGCATAATTAATGCCATTCTAAATCTATAATGTTTGTCCTTAAAATTACAACATGTTTTTTTGTGCTTGTGTGGTTTTAAAGGACATAACCCCCACTTCGTTCTCCTCACAGGATCAACATCCTCTTCCCACATGATATTGCCATTATTTTTCTCCAGCTGCAGAAGACACAAAAAATTCCCAGAATCACAGAATATCCTGAGCTGGAAAAAGCCCACAAAAATCATGGAAATCCAAATCCTGACTTCTATACAGCAACCAGCAGACATTTGAACACGCTTTGCTCTTAAATGAAACATGAAATATTCCAAATATGCCACCAGAAGAAGCAGCCACTAAGAGGAGTTTCAAGAACAAAAATAACCCCACCTGTAACTGCCTTGGGAGGTCACTGGATGCTGAAATCCAGGATTGAGACCCCCCTCATCCCAAATCAAGGGGTTTTTAAATAGCACAGCCTAAATTTCAGTTAATTCATCTTAAAGCAGCCCTTTGAGCCAGCTACATTGTCTGAATTATTTAATTTCTTACTGTTAATGACTTGAAAAGCCCTTAAACATCCAAAATCAGACTGTGCTGTTCAGTTCTACCACCACACACAAATATATATCCATATATATTAAAATATATCCCTGGATTTGTGTAACTCAATCCTTACACCCCTCCCTCCACCCAGAATCCTGAGAAATCCCCACAGTGACTACAAATGCAAACAAAATTAACCAATAAAACCCATGAACTTCTCATTCCATGAGTTACATCTGAGGTGGGGGGAAGTTTCCATGACCTGTTTTATTTGCTGAAGTTCAGTGCATGAAGAAATGATTTGGTTCTGGGGTATCCCAATACAGAATTTATCAATAAAAATATAATAATAAGATAATGCTCGAGGTAGGAGTCAGACAAAACAGCATTTTCCTCATACACACAGCACTTGTTATTTAACCTGCAGCACAAGGTGCAGCTCTAAGCCAGCTGAAATTCCTGGATAAAGTCAATTCCAGCACCAGGCAAGAGCTGGAATGGTTCCAACACATCCAAATAAAGGATTTACAAGAGCATGGAGTGACAGGACAAGAGGAGATGGATTTAAACTGTCAGGGAACAGGTTTAGATTGGATAGTAGGGAAAATCTCTTCCCTGTGAAGGTGGGGAGACCTTGGTACAAGGAGTTGTGGCTGCCCCATCCCTGGAAGTGCCCAAGGCCAGCTTGGATGGGGTTTGGAGCAAATTGGGATGGTGGAAATTGTCCCTGCCCATTGCACTGGATGAGCTTTAAGGTCACTCTCAACCCAAACCATTCTGGGATTCTGAGTTTTAATAAAAAAAAACAAATCACAAAATACAAGAAAGGTTCCCAGTTTTGTCAGAAATAACTGGAATGGAGTCAGGCTCCCAGACACCCATCCCTGGCAGGAAATAAAAAATGGGAAGCAAGCCCCCAAGGCAGCAGCGAGTGCTCCCCTCAGGACACTTTTAGGATTTCCAGCTAAAAGCCACTTATCACTTCCTCACCCAGCCCAACTCCTTCCACACAGCTTTTATTTCAACTCCAAACCCTCCAATTGTCTTCGGAGGTTTTTCAAAGCCTGGGAGAGAGGGGCAGAATGCAATTAGAGGACAGTATTTCTTCATCAAATCTAAAGCCGCCCACTGAAAGCGAGTGGGAAAATGCGGTCCCAAGGCAGCGCTGCTCCATGGAGGGGATGGATTTGCCTTTCACAGGGAAAAAGGGATGGGAGCCGTGCTCACCGTGCCTTAATCAGCTCAGCTGATCCCCTATAGAACATCTCAACGCAGGGCTACAGCTGCAGCCCATAACTCTTGGCTTGATCTTCCATGGTTTGCCTGAAAAGGGCAGAAATGCACTAAAGCTTTGCTGCAGTAAATTGGTCTTTTGGAAAAAAAATAAACAAACCCATCCCTGGCTGCACCCAGAGAGGGGGAAAAACAGGTTGGTTTGTTGGGTTTTTTTTTCAGTGTGAAAGTTTTTGTGGTGTACATCACCCCCCAAACAATTATTTCCTTTAAAATTCAAGTTATTTAGCTATTCCAGCATTCTGGGGGGATTCCCGTGCCTGAGGATGTGCTTTTTCCTTTGGCATTTCAGTCAGCAAACTCCACAAAATGCTGAAAAAACACCTCCTTAGTCAGAATCTTGCTTTAAATAGTCCATTTGTCACGACTGACACGTCACACAAGACACATTGCAGAGGAACTTGGAGCTGTCACATCCCTGGATTCCAGCTCTCTGTCTCCATTTGGAAAAGCAGCTGAAAGCTGAATTACAGAGCTGAGCAAAGTGTGAGCACCGTGGGGAGGAACAAGAAAAGCTCCTGGTTTTCAGATATTTTTTACTTCCTCAGCAAATCCAGACCTCTCAGTGAATTACAGCATAATTAGCTAATTAAAGGAACTCACCTAGCGAGTGTTCTTTCAAAAATCTCAAGGTATGTCCCAACAATTTGCCGTTTTCTGAGGGATTTCAGCTGATTTGTCACCAACTGGAGGTGTAACAGCTCACGTGCTCCTCATTATCATCTTGCAAGCTAAAAGCTCATTAACAACAATTAGGAAAAAAATATAAACTTGGCAGCTTTGTGTCATTTTCTGCCTACTACAGACACTCCTTAATGCTGTTGCAAAAAGGGATTTTTTTCTTCCTTTCACACCCAGCAGAACAGTGGGCTTTAATCTGAATTTTCCTCAGTGCACCAGGATATCAATTACAGCAAACAAACAAATAATCAGCTTTAGTCCACCTAAAATTCCATCCCAAAGACACTGGCAAAGGGCAGAATCTCACCTCCAGTTTTACCTCCTCTGCCTTTTAATCTGTTTTGTTTTCATGGGGTGTTCTGGCTGCTCTGTGCTGGAATTCCCTGGCTCCTGAGCTACAAAAGCCTCACCTGATCCATCTTTGAGCTAAAATCTCCTCAAACCCCAAAGTGAAGAGCATTTGTGGGCACACAGGGAAACATCAACCAACAACCAAGATATTTTCAGCTCTGAATAGGATTTTGAAATAATTTCTGTTCAACAATTTGGATTTGCTCAGCACCCTTAGGAGCAAACACTCATTAAAGGTTTCACACTAACGA